TGGCGTTATGGTTAGTATTCGGTAATTTCTATTTGATGCGGGCCGATGGAACTCAAGCGTCTGCGAACACTGACAAGGCGGGTATATTTGGTTAGCAATAGGCGGGGCATTCGTACGTGAGGCCGCGTTGACTAGCGGTTTGCCTGTCCCTAAAGTCCTGCGGGTTCCTATTTAGCTGCATTTACTGTTGTAGAAACACAAGTCCTTAGGCCGCTGCAACAGTTACACCCTTGCAAAACAGTCGGGCCTTACGCGATTCACCCGAGACTTCTGTAGGATTTGATGACGAAAATAAGTGGACCGCCCACGACGTGTTTCAGAAGTCACTTGACAATTTTACATTACCTTCTGACTTGAAGGAGGCTGTCCTTTGTCTTATCTTCAAACATAGCGACAGGAGTCTGTCAGCCAGTTATAGTCCAGTCAGTTTGACTAGAGTCGTGGTCAAACTGCTTGAAAAGCTGATGAGAGATTCATTGGATGGTCACCTTAATAGCTTTACTCTACTCGGTGGTGAACACCACAGGTTCCGGATAAGGTTTGCATGTCTGACAAATGTTTGTTGCTGGTGAAGTTTGGGCTGCGACAGCAAACAATGATCATATAATAAACATGTATTTCGTGGACTTCTCGAAAGCACTTGGTAAGCTACTTCACTTAAGGCTATCACCAAAGCAGAGCTCCTACACTATATCTGGCCGCGTCCTTCACTGGCTATCTGCCTTCTTGCAGGAAGAGAGCAGTGTGTACTCCTGAGTTGCAGCTTATCTATTAGGCACGCCGTCCTTAGCGGTGTCCCAAAAGGCTTGATCCATATACCGATGTTCATATCGTCTACCCATACCTATCGGTCTCAAAACAAGGCCTCTCTCATTCGAGCATCGGCTGCCGTCGGCAAATGTTCTCATTTGTATAATTAACTGCCTCATGTACTCGCCTCCGTCTAGTACATTACCTGCATGCATTGTCCTTCTACCGAAATTGAAATTTCAGGTCCCTGGCTGAGTTTTGCCTCCCGGCTCCACTCTCATGCTTCTCAGCTCACAATTACGTCACCCTCTCTTGTTTTGCCTCTTCTCTGGTCCATATTGCATCAGTTCAATGGTGGTTTAGGTTCCCATAGCGTCAGCACAACATACTAGGCCACATTTGCTCCACTTTCCTACCGCGCCACGCACTCTTAAACCTCCTGGACCGCATCGGCCTCCGGCTCCAAATGCCTATAGGTCTTAAACAAAGGCTTCTCTTCCTTTGAGCATCGATTACAGTTTTCATTGGCATAGGATACAGCCTCCTGATACTGGCCTCCGTCTGGCTCATTACCTGTATGCTTGGTCCCCTGCAAAATGTAATTTCAGGTCTCTGCTTGACTTTTGCCTCTCGGTTCCACCATCATGAAGCTCAGCTCACAATTACGTTCCCCTCTCTTGTTTGGCCTCTCTTTTGGTCCATATCGCATCGGTTCAATGTCGGTATAGGTATCACTAGCGTCAGCGCAACATCCTAGGCTTCCTTCGATTCCCTTTGCTACTGTGGTACTCAGTTTTAAACCTTTTCGACTAGTCCGGCCTCTCAGTCCCCAAAAGCCCATAGGCATCAAACCAAGACCTCTCTTCTTGTGAGAATTGGCTGCCACCGATACATTTCTCAGTTGTATAGTTAACTGTCTTGTGTGCTCGCCTCCATTTGATGCATTTTCTGCATGCTTGGTCGTTCTACGGATATTGCAATCTTAGGTCTCTGGTTGAGGTTTGCCGCTCGGCTCCATTCTCATGCTTCTCAGCACACAATTACGTCCCCCACTCTTGGTTTGCCTCTGTTTTGGTCTATAGCGCAACAGTTCAATGGCGGTATAGTTATCACTAACGTCAGCGCAACATCTCAGGTCTCTTTTGGTTATCTTTCCTTCTGTGCGTCTCATTCCAAAACACTTTGGCCAAGTCAGTCCTCTGAGGCTCCAAATGCCTATAGGTCTCAAGCCAAAGCCTCTCTTATTTTGAGCACCGGCTGCCATCGTCTCAAGTTCTCATTAGTTTAAGTTACAACCTTATGATGCTCTTCTTTTTCTGAATCATTATGCTTTGTAACGCCTACCGAAATCCGAATTTCCGATCTCTGATTGAGTTTGGCTCTCGGCTCCGCTATCATGCATCTCAGCTCACATTAACGTCTTCCTCTCTTATTTGGCGTCCCTCTTCGTTCATATCGCAACTATTCATTGGCGGTATAGGTACCACTAGCCTCAGCTCATCGGTCACTCCATTGATTTCAGCCAGCACAACTTCATCATAAATTTTATATTTATACAATAACATAGTCCTGTTCAAAATAGTTGGCAGTTTGCTCGGTCCATTTTTCTTCTCATCCTTGTTCTACAGGATAAAATTACCTGCACCGAACACCGCTGAAAACGTACCTGCGACGCTCCCATGGGCACGGATTCAATAAAGAACAAAGAAAAACCCGCACTTCATATCATTCCACACTAAAGAACCTAGAAAACTGATCAATTCAATACAAATCATCTGAGTCATCCGACTTCAACTGCTCCAACCACTAGTACTGGGCTCCGAAGGCGAGTACACAGTCATAGGAAACGAATTGGCGTTACGTGTCTGCGAATATCCCCGAGGGTAATCGGTCAGCTACAATCTTGCCAATGTTATATCAACAGCCGGCAGTGTTCCAGGACGTGGTGGGTCTTCGTCTGGCAAGCGTTTTCCCTACAGAAAGCCACAAATGTCTGTTTAACAACACTGCGACGTGGCGGATGTGACTCGCCACTCACTAAAGTCACTGCCCCTAACACATTGGCAAGTTGACCGACCCCAAATTTACAAGTTCTATGCATATATCGGCTCTCGCACGAACACGCCTACATATCTGATTAGTGACATACCACTATCCTTAAGTAAATTTCACCTGTTTCCTCCTACTTCACTCACTGACCTACATTGCTTACGGGACTTCATCGGACTAGTTAATCATCAACATACCATATAAGTGATCTGATTACTATCTTTAACTCTCGCATTCTGTGTACATAGACTACATACAACCTTTGGACTCTATGGGCCCACACTACTGTCTTCAACTGTAATACTCCCACTGTTGGTGCTGCTTATTCCGCTATCATGTACAATAATGCAATATGCTGATCATGCCCAAAAGGCGTGTCTCGCTTTGTCGAGAATAAAATATTTATTTATTTATTTATCTACCTGGGGAGCTTGAAGTATCATCACTATTGTTTGTCAATGGGCTGAAGCTGTGGAAAGTTGTAGGCGTCCTTGTGGGTTCTGAGGCCATTCCGCATGCCCTGAACCGGCTCTTTCAATGGTTTACTTTGTGGCTACTGCCCAGTAATCAGGCTGTGTACCGTACTTCGTATAGGAGCAACTTCCCACATTCAAAGTACGTGTGCGGTGGGGCCGAATTCCTTTGTCTCTAACCAGGTAGATCTAGGCGTCGTCCATTTCTCGTCTCTGCATTCTGGTGACAGCTGAAAGAAGGCCGCGCGTAGAGGTTTCAGAATGTTATGGTTAACACGTCGTTCTTTCGGGGTCTCAACTGCCAACGTATTTGTAAAGCCGTTCTCTGCCTTCCTTCAATCCGATCTGGAATACTGCGCCCAGGCTTGCCCACCCGGCCTTGTTCGGGACAAAATGGAACTCGAGAGGGTGTTGAGAGTAGGTACCAAATTCGTCGTGGGTTACGGGGGCACACGTACCCCGTAAGCCTACTTAGCTTGGGTAGGTATTCAATGCACTGCCGAGGGCAACGTGGCGACCTAATCATTACTTACCGCATTTTAACAGCAAAGGTTGGACGGGACTTGAGCCAGCTATCTAGCCGGTTAAGTTGCTTTGTCTTCGCCGTCCTCCCATGAAGCTACACAAGCTGCGTTCCTACCGGATCAGGGTGAAAACTCGGTCATTGCCGCGAGTTATCGAGCGCTAGAACTCGCATCCAGATGGCGTAGTCATTGAACCTATGTTATGGTTTTCGAATGTCAGTTAAACGCTCTTGGGTGACATTACAAAACCTTTTCATTCCCCTAACCATATCCATCTGCCCACTTTGTGTTCATATACTGTCGTTTTCCCCACGCTTTGGTGTTATCCTTCCTTTAAAGGACTTGGCTTCCACTTTATATCCAAGGTTATTACTACATCTCCGTTACCGCATGTGACCTGCATAGCTGGAGCTGCAAGTGCAGGGAGCCTAGGGAGTAATTGATTGACCAGCATGTGGTTCGGGTTGTTCGTTTAAGTTGCAACTAGACCTCGTTACACCTTATCCCTTCCTGCCTAACCATCCACTCAAAAGGGACACCCAAGAGATGTTCCTAGCGTACAAGCCCCCGTTGTATCTGCCTTAACTTGTGCAGAACTTTGAGGGCAGATGCCTATTTTCCACATGGGTAGCAAACTCCGTTGATCTGTGCTCGAGACAACGCGCTTTCGACGCTGGGACTCATGGCTGGAGACGTGTTTAGTGGAACTACGCTGGCAGGTTTAGTGGCAAATGCCCTTGGGCTGCAATACCTAAAATGCAACTTCACCTGCACAAACAGTATCTTCAGCAGTTTTCCTTAATGGTTTCCCTGTTACCATAGCAGTATTATTATTTATTTAGCGTTAGTACTCTTGCCTTCTCAGTTAACCATTCTCTTGTAACCGGCCCGACCTCGACTGCTAGGGCAGGATTGTGGGTAGTAAATAGTGGGCCGCGTTTGCTGCGTCAAATGTTATTATTATCAGAACTACCCGCACAATACGGATCGTTCGTAGGACCACCCAACTGTTTAATAATTCAAAGAACCTGTACGTAAACGTGGTCAAGTTACATGTTTAAATGTCTCCGGAACCGGTTATAGCATCAGGTATTTATATTGACAACTGAAAATCAGAAGCCTTATGGTGTTAGCTACTATAAGGTAAAGCCTTCCCGGGAAACGTTGCATTTGTTTTACTTCACTGATGATAGTGTTGTTTGACCTTTGGTGAATCATTTAACGGCGAAATGTTGTTCCCGTGGTTTTGGGTTTCGTTTGTTTCACTGTTAGATGTATCGCTTTCACAAGAACCAATGGATATGTTCTGGGTTTCCAGTGACTGTACAACCCACGATGGAAAGCCACAGATGTGTTATCCACCGTTCACCAGCGCTGTAGCCGATCGGAAAGTGGTTTCAACAAATACATGTGGGGAAAAATCAAGACAGAAATATTGTATCCATATGTCATCAGCTGACATGTCGAGCAGGTGTCAGTATTGTGACTCCCGAAATCTTGCTGAAAGCCACTTCCCCGAGTACATGACTGATAAAAATCCTAACAACTGGTGGCAGTCAGAAACCATGGCCGACAATCCCACGTTACATTTTAGAGAATCTGTCAATTTGACAGTTGATCTCGGTAAGCTGGCGTAGTCCTTACTAGCATACAGGAGTTTTAATGTGTCCATATTATGAGGCATAATTTACAAGTACAGTTAATTAACTATCGCTTGGTAGGTTGCATGGCTCATTTCCGTCTATCATATTCGAGCTCTTATTCGTGATTCCTTTTCAATTAGCTTTGTAAAATACCAACAGCATGAAACAAGTTACAAAGTGTAAGGCTGTTTGTAAAATCTGGATGTTTTATGGTTTATCTATCTCCTAAACGTGTCCAACACTTCTATGGATATTTCCGAAATTATTTTTTTGCTTCATACGGAACATGTAGCATGTTATTTATATTATCCTGGAGTAACAAATAGCAGTAAGTCCCATAAGACTGGTAAATACCATTACCGCATGAGGCACCCATTCGAGTGTGGATACTAGATTCTGGTGTCCTGCATTAATCCAGGATGGCTTCATGCGTGTCAGGCTACAAGAAAATGCCAATGAAGGAAACAAAAGTGAGAAAATGTCAACACCGTAACCTGACCAGCGGGGATTTGGCGATTTTGGCTTAAACAAATGTGGTCGTAGGTAGGGGGCAGTAAAACAAAACCAAGGGTTACAAGAGATCAGCAATAAACTTGCATGTTTCCACCCGAGGATAAGTGGTCTGGATATCATAACCAAGTATTTATATTAGCAATTGACTATTTTACTTCATCAAATATTTGCTGGATTGTAGTAATAAAAGTTGACCCATTAGATTGCATAAACTCCAGTTATATGATTGTTTATTGTAGCTAAGCTACGTTTATCCGGTTAGTTACCAGACTTCAATCGAATATTTATTAATCTATGTCTACGCACGTTACATCGAAAAGTTGCTTGCTCCAAAGATTGGGAGTGCAGGCTAGTATGTGCTTAGTTATGCAGCTACATCACTGTCGGCCGGTGGCCGAGTGGTATGCACGTTTGCTTTGCAACCATAAGGTCATCGGTTCGCATCCGCGTAGGGGTGGGGCGTCCTCGCGGTATACTCATCCCGCGCGTGACTGGCTGTAGTCGCGCGGCAGCGAATCGCCGTTACGGCGTACAGCTGACACATTATTATTAGTATTATTATTATTATTGTTTACATCAGTTTCCCGATCAATCAATTATTAAACCGGTTGCCAATCAAAATATTACTTGACGGTAGCATGTAAATCTTTGGGCTGAAAGGCCGTACTTACCAAGCTACAGTAAGCGTTCCACTCTACGAAAGTGAGATTTTTCATTCCACCTGAGGATCTGAGTCGACTTCAGGTCTTTGATCATGGATACTTGCAACCTATTGCTGGTTTCGGGTGATACCAGCGCATGCACAACGATGATATGCGCAGGCACTTGATGAGCCAGCTCGCTAGGACAACAGCTAGCCATAAATAACTTGCCTTGGCTTAGACCTGTACTACGTAATCCCTATCACGGATTACCAAAGAGGGCCTCTTTTATTTGCCAGATGTTGGATGGCGCAAGATCCGAGGTGGGTAAAGATCAACTTGTCAGCGTGAAAGGAAGTTACTGAATACGAAACTGGTTGACGTGGTTCCTTATTGCCTTCCAGGCCGTATTCCACGAGGCCAGCCTTGTGTACGGAAAGACCTTCCGAAACGTGGCTTGCAGTCGGTACCAGTGGCGTGTCTGCTGTCGTTGCCTAGCCAAACTGTTTGCTTAAAGTGTGTTTATTGCTCGCGGATTTTAGAGCCACAGTGGTCAAGGCTTCAACCTTTGAACACTAGACCTCGAGGCCCACCCCAGATCAGGCTATCTCCATCTGATGAGTCCAAAGGAGGACGAAACCGGTTATTGGGTGTCCGGGTTAGTAGGAGCAATACCAAACCATCAGTGTGTTAATTGCACTCTTAGCTGCGGGGTACTGGCTGATTATGGCACGGGGCAGTAAAATCGTAAGGAAACTGTTTTGCTCATGGAGCTTTAGCTTTGCACCATAGCTAGCTGTTTGTGTGTGTATGCTGTTGACATGGAGTAGGCGATTTGCCCATGAAGGTTTGCTTAGCGCATTAAGGTTTTGTGCTAGATCACCCTTCTCACCCTTTACTTATTCTTTATCCCGTAGGTCATCGTGGTTGTACAGCGTTAAAGCATCAGTACAAATAACTTGTGTATTGCTGGTAATGATAATGAGGACTAGGTGAACGTATGAGTCTGGTGAGTGTCATAAAATTAAGAAGGCCTTACTCAGCCCATGCTTATCAATTTGTTCCTGGCTGACCAATTGTTGACTACGTTCCCAAAAACAACGGATACTGTTAACCATCCAAATGAGGTTGTTGAAATAGACATGTACAGAGGATTTTATTGGATTTATATTTAAAATTAGTAGGCTTCATTGCTTTTAAAACCAAAACCGTATACTCATTTTGTGAAATTGTGCAAGTCCATTCTTCGTAGGTTATAAAAGGTGTGCATGGCTGAAATTGGTGAATTAGTTTGTTAGTATCTTTTAGGAGCTAAAGTATATGTATATGTATATATCAATTTTAACTTGCTTAGTGGTTTACTATGGACATGCCAAGGACGTGTTTACAGCTTGCAGGTTAAAAATTTTTCTAACTAACTATTGATGTTTCCAGGTCTTTTAATTTGTTTTCATTGTTGCTTCTCTCTCAATTAAGCTTACTCATCTGCTTCGTTGACTGCTGTGAAAGTCAAGAGTTTTGTATAGTTTCATAGCTTTTGCGCTTACATTCAAAGTTTTCCGCTTTTAAGCTAAGTAGGATGTGCTTTTGCAATTGTTCTCCAGTTTAACCATTTAATGCTGCGTGTCATCAAACTTATAGTTCATACTTTCTTTAGAAATTAATATTAATGTTAGCGAACAGTTATCATTAAACTCGTAAGTTTTAACGGGACGACTATGGGACAAAACTGATATAATGCATTGATAGCAAATCTTAAGAAGGAAGTTAGTTTGTCAACATCTTCCGGGACTTTTGGATGGATCGACATAATTCAAACTCAAAACTAATTGCGGACTTAAGTTAAACCGTGAGTTTTAATCCATTGACAACACTAATACATAAAAGTACCCTAACCATGCCATAACCCTTTGTGACAACTGCGGCACACTGCTCATTGGATTGTGAGACAGGGATAAGGCTAATAGCACTTACAACCTGAGTACAAAGCTAAATTCAATTAGAACTATTCGGCAAGTGGAGACAACTAAAATTCTGTTCTGCATTGCAGTTTTATGAGCAGTTAAGACACACGTACTTTCTTCAGATACATGCCTAATATTTGAGTCGACCGAGGTGCACTACAAAATATATCAATGTCAGGATTGTGTTTGCACCACCAAATACATTAACAAGCCTATGACTCAAAAATGATCCTCAGTGGATCTAACTACTTAAAACGAACTACTTGAATATATTACGGTCGGCCGGGAGCCGAAAAGACGAGATGACAATGGACTGAAACTGCATTAGTGCAAATGACTTCTCAGTATCCCAAACCCGCGTATGACTAGGTAGCAGTCAGGTGACAGCAAACCTTAGATGCCGCACGTCCGCGTACTATCTATAACTTCCTTTTTTATATCACTAGCTCATCGACAATATATAAAAATCCAAAAGTGCTAGTGAAGTGATACTTCTAGGTCAGTTGTTGTGGAGTTCTACGAGCTGAACAACTTGGTTGCAAACGTTTCGCCACCATTCGTGGTGGCACCTTCAGTGCGGGATTGATAGCAGTTAGGTAGCAGTAGCTGAATTATCATCGTTCTCAAGTATCTGTGCTATGAAACTAGCACTTGATTCCTAGATGCTTCGAGCATAATTCAGTGCGTTCATTAACTTGAGTAACAATCCAACGTCTTATTTTATGCATAATAAGTAAAGCAAAATGAAAAACATTGAAAAATATGTAATGCATAACAGCGGTTTCAGTATAACAAACTACGTAGGCAATAAAGGGTGTTGAAAGCTCTCCTGGTAATTACGGAAATAGCAAGAGATACAGACATTGTAGGCATTAGCATGTTTCAAACAAAAACACTGAATTTACGTGGCGTATGTAATTAATGAAGCTAAATGGTGAAACCATGTAAAGTATTGCCGACGAAGAGAAACCTAAAATAAATTATTGCATACAGGATGTGTCCCAGCTAGCAAAAAGCATGAAAAAGAATAAGGAAAGATACCATTATTACCATTTAAATGCCGAACAAGTACTACTCAAAAACGCAGTAAACGCTCTAATAGAGAACTGATAAAACCTCACAAAATTGCAACCGATCAGTAAAAGAAGACGTAAGGCATAAACTTATAGGCACCGAAAAAAACAGAAACAATTTTTATCCACATAAAGGCGGATGTAATGCAACAGCTAAGCTTCCCTTACATCACCAAATCATCGTCCCGGGACACTGTCCCAATGCCATACCATCCATGATCTAGGGTCATCCTATAAAATTTTCCTACACTTCCCAGATCGAACCAGAAATACACTACCAAAAACTTTGAGGAGTGTTGGGTATGTTTTCAAAATCCTCCAATTTTTAACCTCTAACGCGCCACTTAGTAGACCACCGTCAACCCTACTCCACAACTCTAAACAATGCTGGAACAGGTTAAAACAGGCATTCGTCAAGCTTCTCCCATAAATCCTGGTCACGCTGACGTATGTGCTTAGTTATCAGGTCCTACAGTTTGATCCAAACTATTTACTCTGAATTACAATAAATATTTGCTTTTATGTGACCCAAATAAAATAGGATACACCATTACAACTAGGTGATCTATTTTATAAGGCGTCAAGATGCGACACCAGAAACAGTGAAATTTAATATTGGTAACACGCTGCAGAACAAAGCAATTTGGAATTTTCTCTTGGAAATATGCGAATTTGAATATATAAGCGATTTTGACACATCCACCACAATTGTTTCACTTGAGTGACAACTGTGAATACTGAAATTAGTACAACTGAATGAACCACGATATGAAACTGGTCCTGAGGGAT